TTTTTGTGATGGTTTATTGTATTTCCATCCAGTAACCAATAAAAAGACAATATTTGGAGAACATATCAATAGTAACCAATGAGATATATTATATTTGGTGGAAATATACAAGAAATCAAACACAACATGAAAGAGAGCTTTTGAAACATGGTAGATACTGAGGAAATATCAGTAGCATATATTAAAGAAGATGAATGCCTCTATAATCAAAAAACAAAAGATTACAATTATAAAATATTAAAAAAAAGAATGTTTTAGAAACTTTTGTAGATCTACTGTATTACCAGGTTATAATAAGGCTAATTTAACTAGCAATTATTGATTGTGGTACCGTCACAATGCCAGGCTGCAATATTTAATTTATTTCATATAAAATACATGTGCCAGGGGCAAGCCATCTCAAATTAGTAGTGTCTTGTCCCTGTACATTATATTTTTCCTTTAATAATAGAGTCGTGCCAGTCATCTATCTAACATCTTTTGGAAAAATTTTTAAATTGAAATAAAATGGTTTGCATCAGAAGTTTGTATTTAGTTAATCAGTGCTCCTCCCCTTGAGGTTATCATATCTGGTCTCTTCTTTCATCTATCTAACTCTGTTCTCAAGATTAATGAAGAACAGATGGACAAATGGACAACAGTGGGAATTTATAGGTCTACAATTTTTTCAGATTGCAATTCAATAATAATTAAATGTAAAGTAATTTGATTAGAGGTAGGCAGTTAGACCACCTACATCCATTCAAATTACTTTAATCTATAAATTAATATAAAGAAATTGCTTTTTGCCCTTGGTTTAATTTAATTAATTAAAAACCTACTAATGTGAGGTAGGAATAAGGACTTATCACACCAGTGATAACAAGCACAAACACCCAGTATCAATGGAATACATTTAATAAAACGAGAAGAGGTGTACATTAAAAATGATTAAATTAACAATTGACATGAAATAACCAAAATGCGTTTCGGACTATCGGAATAGTCCCTCTTCAGTTGATATACATGTATAAAAAGGTGAGATACTTAAAATTATACAAGACAAAGGAACCGTTATAAAGGTATGATCATTGAGCAATAAATGGGTGTAGAGGAGACAGGCTTAAGGTGGCTTCATTATGTTACATGGCAGCTTGACATAAGGGTTACTATTATAAACAGTATTAAAGTTAGCAAAATAATAAGGTAATTGTTTTACAAAATAAGTTATATCTACATACCATAACAGTAGTAAGATGGAGTTTGAAGGTGGCATTGCTATAAGATGCAGAGCAGTTATGAGGGAGGTGTGTTACAGGCAACATCTGGAGAACAAGTGGTGACTAACATCTTAATGGCCAACCTTCATTACATCACTTCTTAACCAGATGTTAGTATTAAGACTATAGATTTCATCATTTAATAGATGAGGGTCTGTGCTCAAATATCAACTGGGATCTAGGCAAATTATTCTATTATCCCACCACACATTAGTAGGTTTTTAATTAATTTAATTAAACCAAGGGCAAAAAGCAATTTCTTTACATTAAATTTAATTTATAGAATAATTTGCCTAGATCCCAGTCGATATTTGAGCACAGACCCTCATCTATTAAATGATGAAATCTATAGTCTTAATACTAACATCTGGTTAAGAAGTGATGTAATGAAGGTTGGCCATTAAGATGTTAGTCACCACTTGTTCTCCAGATGTTGCCTGTAACACACCTCCCTCATAACTGCTCTGCATCTTATAGCAATGCCACCTTCAAACTCCATCTTACTACTGTTATGGTATGTAGATATAACTTATTTTGTAAAACAATTACCTTATTATTTTGCTAACTTTAATACTGTTTATAATAGTAACCCTTATGTCAAGCTGCCATGTAACATAATGAAGCCACCTTAAGCCTGTCTCCACCTTAAGCCTGTCTGTCTCACCCATTTATTGCTCAATGATCATACCTTTATAACGGTTCCTTTGTCTTGTATAATTTTAAGTATCTCACCTTTTTATACATGTATACCAACTGAAGAGGGACTATTCCGATAGTCCAAAACGCATTTTGGTTATTTCATGTCAATTGTTAATTTAATCATTTAATTAATGTTAATCAGTTAATTTTTAATGTACACCCCTTCTCATTTTATTAAATGTATTCCATTGATACCTGGGTGTTTGTGCTTATTATCACTGTTGTGATAAGTCCTTATTCCTACCTCACATTAGTAGGTTTTTAATTAATTTACTTTACATCTAATAATAAACAACGCTTTTTTGCCCTTGACTATAAATTAGACAGAATTAGATAACCTAATAAATAGGTTATAACAATTTGCAGGGCTTATCACACCAAGGCCGACAGAAAGAAGGATCAGAACTTTTATAAAAAAGGATTGGTCTTTAATAATCACATTTCAAATTTAGGTAAGTATGCATTTCAGGTACAAGGACCCCTCATCAGCTTACAAACACATGATACCAACGTAACAAATACAACACCAATAAACAGCCAATACAACGAAATAACCAACATATGCAGTGTACTGCATTTACAGTTTCTCAATGTAACCCATACACTAAAAAGTAAAATATCAAGTATAAATTTGAATACAATGACAATGTGGTATAACATATTATCTGGGACAAGTAAATGTGATTATTAAAGACCAATCCTTTTTTATAAAAGTTCTGGTCCTTCTTTCTGTTGGCCTTGGTGTGATAAGTCCTGCAAATTGTTATCTAATTCTGTCTACTTTACATCTAATTATTAAATTAGCCTTATTATAGACCAATAGACACAGCAAATCATTTTGTATTATTAAAACTTGGGTTTGTGGATTGTTTATATATGTAATTATAGCAGAACAAATAAAAACTGATAATAAGCACTTTTCTTCAAATTTTTTTCTGTTTAAATATTTTTATAGGATGTTTTATTTACTATTGCTAACCAGTTTATACTATTAATGTGAGTAGTTAAGTATTTTACAGTCCAGTATTGAGCTGTGGTGGACAAATATGTATTGTGTAAATCAGCCTTTACTGGTAGAAAGATGTATCATGCAGACTTAGAGAATATTTTACATTTTTTTCAGAGTGGAAGCATATACCATGAAAGTACTTCTAGAAAGCAGATCAATGTGTGATTATACCAAATGGTACAACAGGCAGGATGGGAAAAAATTTTTTACTATAAACCTGTCAAATGTTTAACAGGTTTATAGTGCAGTACTGTATTATAAGCAACGTATGATCATACATCAGTGGTATATTCAGGTATTATTATAAGGGGCATTACGAATAGGTTTGTGCACAAAATTACTTTTGTAGATAAATCTCATAAGACTTACACACACAATGTTTGATTTGTTTATCTTTATTTAACTATTGGAAAGTCATATGAATAAATAATTAAGTATTTATAACAAATTTTCTTTCTGTATTTATTTTGAATTTTTGGCTAAGGATAAATTGACCAAATCCTGAAATTAAAAAGTGTGATGTTAGGCATGCACTTTGATGTGGTATCAAATGAGTCAAATGATCAACTCTGTTTAATGATTGTCAGTTCTCTAGCTTTCTGACAGCATTGATATCAGATGTTATGAATAATCAATGAACATTTTATTTATCCATATACTCATGTTAACAAAATAATGATACCTGCAATGATATCAGCAATGAACAGTTAATTATGACTTCAAGTGTAACTTTGTTTGCTGTAATCACCATTTTTTTTAACTCAGATAATTAGCAAAAAAATTAATTTCCTTTTAAGACTGATTCACAACTGTGTTACTTACCCTTGTACATCCATTGTTCTCTGACAGACAGAGTAGCTGAATTGGACAATAAATCTCCAATTGGACTACTGTTTCTATAAATTGGATATTAAAATTTTTACATTTGTAATTTGTATGCAATTTATTTTTCACTTGAAATTTATGTAATAAATACTGACTATCTTTGAATATACATGAAAACAATCTAAAATCAGGACATGTTTTGGACAGTTTTAAAGTAGGACAGCATATTAAAATGTAAGACAAAACAACCACCTTAAAAACTGAGTAAATTTGATAATAACAGCATCCAAAACCAAAATCAAGCATACAAAATAATAGAGGTAACATTTTTGTCAGGCTGATGATGTCAATTTAACACAGGCAAAAATGTTAGGTCCATTATTTTGTATGCTTGATTTTAGTTTTGGATACTGTTGTTAAAAAGTAGGACTGGCCTGTCTAATTTGGGACATCTGATTACTTTAGTTAAGGAGGACATAAGACTTCTCTTCTCTGTGAATATGTTTATGCCCTATATTATTATGCAACAGCAGCATTATTGTTGCAACAAATAGTCTCCTTAAGTTTTGTTTGAGTAGTGTGATAGTCAGATGCATTGACTGTTGCTCCATGAAGCCTTTGTTCAAACATTTAGTATAGTTGCCATTGCTAAACTAATATAGTCCAAGATTAAATAATGTTTATTGTGGATACTCTAATATTTTACAAAGAGGTAAACTAAAATACTAACTAATGCTAAAATTACAGCATGTTGCATATCTCATTTTTATAGAAATAAAATTAAGAAATTTCACTTTCTGAACATAATGCAACACATGGATGATATGCCAAGGGGAGTGCATCCCAGCAGGATTTTTATTGGAAATTGGCCTCTATATATTAAATATATATGAAGAAAACCCTTAAAACTTCACGTGGTCAGTCTGTTGGGGGAACACAAACTCATAACCAACTACCAGTGTTTGGTAGTTTTATCCACTTGGCCACTGGTGGACCTTACTTTCTGACACTCCTTAGCAGAAATTAGATTGTGTTATTGTATAAAGTAGATGTTTGTAAATGTTATGTAAGAACTGTAAAATGTAGAAAATTTTTAAAATAAATTTAATATATTTTACTTAATTTTTTTAAATGGATATTTAATTAAAAAGACTATAATCTGTTTTATACTTTTAGTACAAATTTTATAATTAATTCTGTGTTATTAGGAAATCCTCGCCGAACTACTTTTAAGCGTCCAGCAACAATTGCAACACAGTTTAGGATTTCAGTTAGTTCTTTAATGAAAAATTTACAGTCTAAACAACCTAATTATGTATTATGTATAAAGGTAAGTAAAATTTATAAAACTGTTTTCACTATCATAATTATGTGCAGCTAACTCATGGGTAATCTGTACTTAAAAGTCAATATGAAAGCAGGTGCTGGTTATCTGTCAATTTTAACATGTAATCATGAAACTTGTCAAACAGTTTTTCCTATGTATAAACCCATGAATAGCATTTTTAGATGTAAAAATTATTTATATGCTACAGACATTCATTAGTTATTGAAATTTTTTCCAAAGTCACCAAAACCAAATAGAGTCAAACCTTGGGTTTCAAACACCTCGCTTTTTGAACAATTTGATTTACGAACAAAATTTTGAATGCCATATTTGCCCTAGTTGCTGTACAATAACTCAGTTGTCAAACAAGCTATTTGACAAGAGCAGGCCACAGATTAGAGGAATACAGACAGTCAACTCTGTACACTTCTTGTGTTAAAGAAAGTTGACAGCTTGACCAACCAACAACAGGTTCAGAAGTTAGTAATGCCAAGATTGCTTCCTGTCATTAGACATAACAGCACAAACCATTGATGACATTGTTATTCAAATTAGATTTTAATGCATGTGTGGATAAGATACTACTACCATTTTTTGGTGTATATCACAACTGAATTTAAATCAAATTAATAAATAACAAACAATTACAGTAGAACCTCCATTATCCAGATTTTCGAGTATCCGGATTGTTCAAAATAAACAAAAATTTTACGAATTTGCTGATTTGCACTTGGAGAATTACAACACTGTTTATGTACGTGATGGAATGCATAACTTTTTTTGTTTCAACAACGTCTCACCCAGCACAGTGGTCGTAAACTCTTAAATATATTTTACGTAGTAATAAAAATATAACTTGACATACGTATTTATAAATAATTTATATTCAAATTACATCATTTCTATGACCAAGGGCGGCGTAAGGCATGGACGACGTGGGCCACCGCCTATGCCTCGCGGTCCGAAGGGCCTCGCGCCTCGAAGGTTTATGCATTACTTAAAAGCCGCGAACGCGACGAAAAAATTTTACTCGTCATAAAACGATAAATAGTTTGCCAAATTTTTATTCATAAAAATGCAGTTTCAACTGCTTTTTATTTTATAAAATCCGTCTTCTTGCGCCACCAGAGGGCCTTTTAAACAATAGGTAGTCTTAGCGTTGGTCAGTAGTAGTCCAAATTCAATACAAACGTTTGTTTCTTGAAAATTTGATCATGATTTAAATACAGTATTTACTTTTAATATTACTGATATGTCATTGAAAAGAAAACGTGTTGTATTATCATTAAAAGACAAATTAAAGTATCTGTTTCGATTATACGGATTTTTCCTTATCCGGACTACCTTCATCCCCAATTAGTCCGAATAATCAAGGTTCTACTGTATTTTGTTTTGACATTGTCACAATGCTGAAGCTGTAATTTTTAATCATATTTTAAATTTTTTAAGATTATAAATCAGTGGAAAATATTTCCTTTTTCTGTTAATGTTATTGGGTGGATTTTATAAGAGATGGAAACTATAAATTCTTTCGTTGGTTTGTTATGCAGGTCTCCTTATTAAAATATATGCTTTCCATCTGAAATTAGTAGTGTCTTGCCTCTGTACATTATACTTTTACTGTTACAATAGAGTTGTGCTGGTCATCCATCTAACTCTTTTCAGGGAAAAATTTTTGAATTGAAATAATGTCACTTCCATTTTGCACTGGAAGTTTGTATATAGTTAATCAGGACTTCCTGCCTCTAATTTTTCCATGTCTAGTTTCGGCTTTCATCTGCCTAACTCAGTTCTTGAGATTAAGGAACGACAGACAAAAGTGCAAATTTATAGGTCTACAATTTTTTTCAAATTGTAGCCCAAAAACCACATTAATTGACATTCACATAAAATAAATGACATTCAAAAATCTGTAGTTTAAAGGTGCTTAATACAAATTAAATAACAAAAATTTATTAATTAATTAATATAATATTATATATTATAATAATAATATTTAATTTAATATATATTATTACTAGGTAGCCAGTTACTTAAAACTAAAATTAATAAAAATTAAAACTCTGGTTTTTACACTGAAACTGAAACTATAAAATTAAATCAAAATTAATTAAATTAAAATTAAAATTTGAATCAAATCAGTTGAAACATAATATAGTGGTGAAAGTGTGGATAAAGTACTTGTTGTCTGTCTTGATTGATTTGGTTATACTGTATTTCATCTAGGCAGAGTCAAGTCTCTACAGGACTTTTTTGTGAAATGATGGTTTTTGTTTTGGTTGGGTTGTCACACCCAACCAAAACAACATTTTGACAGAACATTTTGCTTTTAATATATACTAGCTTACCCGTCGCGCATTGCTGCGATCTCAGAAGAAAGGAAATTCAAGCAAACTCGTTATGATAAAATTAAATTTACATTTTATCATTTTTATTGAAACTTATTATTATTATTCTCTTTCATCGGGAAAACATTTCAAAATGTTGTTTCAATTCTATTTATTTATTGGAGTGTTTGTGGATACACGATATTTTTTGTTTTTCTGTCTGGTGTGTACACGAATAAATCAGATTTCCCGATGCGTGAGCCGGCCACATACAGTTGTCTATGAGAGAAGCACGGATTCTCCAAATTTAGCCCATACACTCGCAGCAATTGTCAGAAGTGCGATATTCCCCATTTTTATATATATATTTTTTAATCTTTTATAATTTTAATTATTTAATTGCTCCTTCCTCTCTTCCTTGGCATGTTGTGAAATTTCTGATAGTTGGATAATAAACCATTTGATTGTAATTTGTCTTTTTAAATTATTTTGAGTCAATATTAAAATTTGGAAAAGGGGGATACCTAGATCGGTAAAATACGCGAATTTCTTCCTACAACTTCGGTTGTTATTGGGGGTACAGTTAAGGTTTTAACAAAGTTCGAGCGAATGCATAATTAGCAAAAAAAAAGTTGAAATAAAATGATTAAACAAAAATTATTACAAATATCGTAAATAACAGGTCACAAATGCATATATAGAGATATTTTTTGAAGGGGGAATGGTCTTCACAATTTGAAATCGATCGAACATACACTGCTCGAATGCTCGTGTAAACGCGCGCCATCTATCGTAGGATAAATGCCAGAAACCTTTGCGGGAGTGTATTAAAAAACTTCCCAAAGCTTCATGGCAATTGTACTATGCCAGAAACTTCACAGGAGTATATTAAACAACTTCTCAAAGTTTCATGGCAATCGGATAAACAGTGTGGTAATGCATGAAGGACACACACACACATTCATTTTCATATATATAGATATATATAAAATAGATATAGGTAATATTATATTATATTGCATTTGTAGGCATTTTTATGCTTGAAGTACAGCTGAAAAGATAAAAAAAAAAGCTTTGTATTTTGGGTTGGGAACAGATTAATTCATTTTACATTGTTTCTTATAGGAAAATTTGTTTCAGTTTTAGAACAATTTTTAAGAATGAATTAAGTTTGAAATCCGAAGTTTGACTGTACTGACATCTCTTGCCTTTAATTCTCTCCTGTTCATTTTCTATGCACAAATCTATAGTATACTTAAATTGATAATAGAATCAAACAAGTATATTTAATATCTTAAAATTTTATAAGTTTTTAATACTTTCCTCCACTCTGTATAACTACTAGAGAACTATTTAGAAGGTTCTGTTTAGTATCTGAGCAATTATCTTTCCAATTCATGTCAATGAATGTCATTGACATTAAAATGCATTTCTACAGTTACAATCAAAAATTGAATCTGTTACTGGTGTGTAAACTTCTGGTGTTAGTAAAGGGTTGAAGAGTATTGTAAAATGCATTTCTGTTTAGTTTTACAAATTTATTATAGCCATGTGGTTTCTGTAGGCAGAGAAATCTTGTTCCTCTGCCTAAAGAAGCTACCGTATTTTTCGCCGTATAAGACGCACCGGCATATAAGACGCACCCAATTTTAAAGGAGGCAAATTCAGAAAAAAAAAAAATTATGAACCAAATTCTGTAGTAAAATATTTTATATCAACTGTATAAAGTTAACAGCAGTTAAGAAAAATTTTATGTCAACCATGTAACATACTAAGAGCTATCTTTACTATCATAAACAGTCAGCAAACAGTGAAAGTAACAAAAATAAGGCTGTCATGTTTTTATTCTAACCCCAAGAATTCCTCTTCTTTGCTGCTATCAGAAATGAGGAAGGACAGATCCACGCAGTCATTGTCATCACTTTCTTTCTCACTGGTGTCAAATAAGACGTCGTCTTCTGTTCCATCCAAGGCATTACTAATGCCACACTTCTTGAATGATTTTACAACAATGTCTTTCTTTACGGAGTCCCATGACCTTTTAACCCATTCACACACTTGTGTGATAGTGGGCCTCTTCATCCGTCCAGTAGGAGTCAGATCATGGTTCCCAGCTGCCATCCAGGTGTTCCACTCCTCTCGCATCAGAACTTTGAACGGTTTGTTAATAGAAACGTCCAGAGGTTGCAGCTGGCTGGTAAGACCACCAGGAATCACAGCTATTTGGGTCTTAATTTCCTTAAAGTTCTTTTTAGTAGTTTCTGTAATGTGCGCTCTGAACTGGTCAAGCACCAACAAGGAAGATTTCTTCAGAAGCCCGCCAGGACGTTTAGACCACACTTTATCAATCCACAGCCTCATGCCATTTTCGTCCATCCACCCTTTATCATGAACGTGCACGATGACTCCCCGTGGAATTGTTTCTTTTGGGAATGTTTTTCTTTTAAAGATCAACATTGGCGGCAGTTTGGTACCATCTGCACAGCAGGACAGCACAACCGAGTAGTGGGTTTTCTCATGCCCTGAGGTTTTTACGGTTATGCTTTTGGCTCCTTTGTTATCTACGGTTCTGTTAGACGGCACATCAAATGTTAGCGGGACTTCATCCATGTTCCCAATCTGGCTCATTTCAAAGTTATTCTTCTTCCTCGCATCAATAACAAACTTATGAAAAGA